CCCTAAACCCCTAAACCCTAACCCGGTGATTTGAGTCAAGCCGAGAGCGTCTCCAAAACCCGAAAACCTTGCTTAAAGGATCATGTAACCGGGATCTATAAAGGTTCCCCTTATAAAGGGATCCATAAGGTCTGCAAATGTACGTAAATAAGTGTGTATATATATATATATGTATAAAAAAGTCTTAAATGCGGATAGCAAGGCATTGAAGAGAAGGAGTTTCACTGGTCAGGGGTCTACATCAATGTTCGTCCCGGGTCGTAAGAGCTTGGGGGTTTTGGGAAAGTAGGGTTTAGGGTTTAGGGTTTAGGGGGTATAAGTAGGGTTTAGGGGTTTAAGATTCAGGGTCTACTTGGAGGGTCGGGAACTTGGTAAACAGGTTTGGAATGGACTTGTAAGTGCCCGAAAAGGGATCCTAGTTGGGGTTATGACAAGTCCCATGACCCCCCCCACTTTATAGGACCCTCATAGATCCCTTTAAAGGAGCCCTTTAAGGAACCCTACTTACTAAGTCCGCCGACCCTCCAAGTAAACCCTACTGCTTCCTAGTGAGCTTGAAAGCCTGTCTAGGACTTTACAGGCTGGCGTATGGCTTATGATCCGCTCGCTGTTCCTAAACCCTAAACCCTAAACCCTAAGACCTAAACCCCAGGGGGTGGATCATAAGACATACGCGACCCACTTTACAGTGCTTCGGGTGCTGTAGGAGGCCGGGACTTGCTAAGCAGGCGTCTAAATTACCCACAGCCTTGACGCAGAAACTCTTAAACTCTGAACCTCCCAGAGGCTCCACATATAGTACCAGTATGGAATTAGGTCCCAAAAGACTATCCTTACTAAGGTTTTAGGGACCTGACTCCAGAATGGTACTATATATGGAGCCTCTGGGCCTGTAGCCACTCAATGACCAGAGCACGCTTGAACCCCGAACTCTCATCCCAAAAACCGTAAAACCTAATGCCACAGTGATGGGATCTTTAAGGCATGGGGTTCTAGAAGGGATATGTATATATATATATATACACATAAATATATCCTTCCCCCCTGCACTTGAACCATGCTGCCTTAAAGATCCCACAAGCAAGACCTAAATCCTAAACCTTACACCCTAAACCCTTAAGCTTTCCATTTGTGCCATCGCAATCAGACTGGCCTTCTCCGCCAAATCTAAAGCTGCACGAACCATCCTTGGCACGCTTTAGGGGTGTGACTCGGTTTAGGGTTTTAGGTTTAGGGTTTAGGGTTTAGGGGTTTAGGGTTTAGGGTTTAGGGTTCAGGGTTTAGGGTTCAGGGTACGGTGTGACCAGTTGCTGCTGTTTGCTCACAGAAAGTGGCTTGCTTCAATCTAGGGGTCTAGGGGCCTTCCCAATCCGGATTTTACTATAACTCGAATGAGGATACCCATGGAATACGTACTCTTCAGTTGAGATTCTGGCTTTTGTTTTAGGTGATTACGGCGTGCGTTTCAGGACTTCCGGCTCGATTCTGTGAGGCGAAGTTTTGCGGCCTCTGAAACCAACCTATTGCCCTGAGGGTCCATGTGCCCACATATAGTATATTCTTAGGCCTTAACGTCCCTAGATCGGTACTCTAGGGTCAAAGTATGCTCATAGGGATACATGGACCCTTACGGACCCCCAAAACAACCCTAAACCCTAAACCCTAAACCCTAAAACCCTAAAACCCTAAAGCCCTAAACCCTCATACCCTAACATGAGGTGCAGGGCCTTGGGTTTACGACCCTTCAGGTGCTAGGCTTCTGGGAGCGCTGATGCCCCATTCATTCTCGACCCAGGGTTTAGGGTTTAGGGTTTAGGGCGGTAGACGCAACCGAAACTGTAAACCCCAGTCTCGAAACCGAAACGCAAAACCCTAAAACATAGTCCAAAAGACCCCAACTTTAACCCACCAACCGCCTTCAACAAAAATGTAAAGCCTAAACCTTTACTATCCTTAACGCGTAAAGTAATAACCGCCCCGCTCCCCCTCCCCATCCCCTTCCCCACTCCCTTCCGAAAACACCCTTATAAACCCTGAACCCTATAACTATAACCTAAAAAAGAATCCTTGAAGCCGAGATTACTAAACCCTGAACCCTGAACCCTAAACCCTATATACCCTAGATACAATAAACCCTGAACCCTATGTATCCTGAACCCTAAACCCTAAACCCTATATACCCGAAACCCTAAATACCCTAAACCCTAAACCCTATATACCCTAAACCCTACAGACACTAAACCCTAAACCCTAAATACCCTAGACCCTATATACCCTAAACCCTAAACCTTACATACCCCATATACATTATACCCTATACCCTAAACCCTATATACCCTAAACCCTAAACCCTATATACCCTATAGTAAGGGCCTTAACCCTAAACCCTGTATACCATAAACCCTAAACCCGATATACCCTAAGCCCTAAACCTTATATACCCTAAACCCTAAACCCTATATACCTTAAGCCCTAAACCCTATGTACCCTAAGCCCTAAACCCCATATACCCTAAGCCCTAAACCTTATATACCCTATATACCCTATACCCTAAACCCTATATGCCCTAAACCCTGAACCCGATATACCCTAAGCCTTAAAACCTTAACCCTAAACCCTAAACCCTAAACCCCATATTATACCTTAAGCCCTAAAACTTATATACCCCAAGCCCTCAGCCCCTAAACAGCCAACGAGCTGCGGCTTTCGTCGCGACTGCAGAGCTTCGGACAGCGCCGCATCGGCATCGCGCCAGGCCTGGAGGGTTTTATAGGGTTGAGGGGTTTAGGGTTTAGGGTTTAGGGTTTAGGGTTTTATAGGGTTTTATAGGGTTTAGGGCTTTATAGGGTTGAGGGTTGAGGGTTTAGGGTTTAGGGTTTTATAGGGTTGAGGGTTTAGGGTATAGGGTTTAGGGTAATTAGAGGGTTTAGGGTTTAGGGCTTTATAGGGTTGAGGGTTTAGGGTATAGGGTTTAGGGTGGAGGGTTTAGGGTTCCGTGTTTCGGGTTTAGGGGTTTAGGGTTTAGGGTTTATAGGGGTTTCGGGGTTTAGGGTATAGGGTTTTAACGGTTTTGGCATAGGGTTTCTTAGCGAGTGCGCTCGACCCCCCTCCAGAAAGTGGTTAGGGGGGTCGGTGCATGGGTTGAAATCCCAACTCCGCAACCATGACCTTACAGGGTTTCCCCCAACCCCCCTAATAAGGGGGGCAGACACAACCAACAGCCCCCCATCTGCCTTTTTAAAGGCCAAGATATGCATGTTGCAAAGAAAATTATGCAAGTGGTAGACTACATGCCGCAAGCGTTTTTATATCAGATAATTAGCAGGGTCATGTCGCAGGAAGGCAGAGGAAGGTTTCTTGCTTCAGTGCGTATGCTGTACTAGAAACGTAGCATGGCGTTGGGAGTTCGCCTTCTTGCATAGCGCAGCTACATGTAGCCCCTGTATAGCCATCTTTGGCCTCGTCCACCGGCTGAAAATACGCGGCGGTCACGGCCCCGCCGATCAAGATACCCTAAACCCTAAACCCTAAACCCTAAACCCTAAACCCTAAACCCTAAACCCTAAACCCTAAACCCTTTGCCGTAGGATACTCGGCTCAGGGCGGTGTACGCAGCGCCCGGAACGCCGTCGCTAGCGTGCGGGATCTCTCGCCCTGTGCGTAGGCGAAGGACCGCAGGACAGCCATGCGTTCTTCCCTTTAGGGTAGTAAGTCAAGTTGCCGAGGTCCGGGTCTGTCCAGGGCCAAACCACGACACGACGCTGCGTCGTCGTGATGACTTCCACCGCCTACGACTTCGCATTGTACGCGACGACCTGTCCGTCCATTCAGTTGAGGAAGTCCACGTCCTTGCGAACGTTTCGTGTGAAAACCACACGCATGCCGCGAAAGAGCGGCAAAGGCAGCGGCTCGATAGGGTTTAGGGTATGGGGTCTAGGGTTCAGGGTATAAGGTTTAGGGTTTCAGGTTTAGGGTATAAGGTTTAGGGTTTAGGGTATCAGGTTCAGGGTTTAGGGTATCAGGTTTAGGGTTTAGGGTACAATGTTTAGGGTTTAGGGTATCAGGTTTAGGGTTTAGAGTATAAGGTTTCGGGTTTAGGGTATCAGGTTTAGTGTATAGGGGTTAGGGTTCAGGGTTTCGGGTTTAGGGTTTAAGGGTTTAGGATTTAGGGGTTTAGGGTTTAGGGGTTTAGGGGTTTTGGGTATAGAGTGTAAGGGTTTAGTAGGGGTTTTGGGTCTAGTTAACGGTAGGGCTTCGGGCGTAGGGTTTAGGGGAACAGGTCTTTTTGGGGTTAGGGCTTTTGGTTAAGGCTTTGGGGGGTCAGGGATATACTTTAACTCATATATAAGGGATCCGCCCTATGATGTAGGTATGCAGTGTTCGGGGGTTCGGGGTTCACGTAACTTCAAAGCCTAAACCCCCTGAAAACCAAAAACGTTATAGAACCCTTGTAGTAGTAACCCTAGCAGAAGTTATATAGCCTAAGCCTGAGAAGGAACCCTTGAAAGAAACTCTCTCCCACCTGAAGAAGCTGGCGGAACTCGTTCAGCTCCTGCTTGAGTGGGATTGAGGCTGAGGGTGTGGCATTTTAGTCTTGGGCCACAGGGTCTAGGGCTTTAGGGTTTCGGGGTTTAGCGTGTGGTCTTTGGAATGAGTTAGGAGTTTCGCGCTCAAGGGGTGTAGGGAGACATAGGATTTGGAGGCTTAGTCATTTAGAGTTTTTTCTTCGGCCATAGCCCCAAAACCCTAAAACAAATAGGACTGATGTTGAGGGTCTCGGGGTTTGGGGTGTCAGGCTTTTGGGGTTCAAGCTCGGGGAGTAATATAGGGGCCTTAATAATTCGAATAGGTTTTTTTGGGGTTCCTATTACAATTATAGTAAAATATACCCCCAAACCGTATTCTAATTATGAAGGCCCCTATATTAAGTTCCTTTCAAGAGAAAGGTCTAGGGGTTTACTTGGAGGGTCGGGGCCGCAAACCCTAAACCCTAAGACGGGGGACTTAGTAAGTAAGCCACAAGTAGACGTACGGGATCCTCATGTAGGTTAGAGTTTAGGGTTTAGGGCCAAAGTTTAGGGTTTAGGGTCTTATCTGGTTTAGGGCTTAGGGTTTATAGGGTTTAGGGTTTAGGGGTTTAGGGGTTTAGGGGCTTAATAGCAATAAAAAGTACTACGTAGTCTCCCGAGCCTCCAAGTAGGCTTTCGGCTTGACTCGTTATTCAGATCCTATGCTAGGGCCTGCAGACTCTATGCCACTAGCCAATAATAAGGTCCCTGGAGGAGTACTTGGAGGGTCGGGGGACTTAGTAACTAGTTATCTTATAGACTTATAGGTATCATAACCCCAATTAGGGTCCCTTTTAGGCTACATATAAGTCTACTTATTACCTACTTACTAAGTCCCCCGACCCTCCAAGTAGGGAGGGTCCCTAAACCCTAAACCCTAAACCCTAAACCCTAAACTGTAGGGAGGGTCAAGAAGTGGCAAAGTGGCAAAGGTTGGATTCAAGAGGATTCGGGGGCTCATTGGGGCTACCACTGAAACCCCAAAAATCCCAAACCTTACCCCGAAAGGGTTTAGGGATTAGGGGTTTAGGGTTTAGGGTTTAGGGTTCAGGGTTTAGGGTTTAGGGTTCAGGGTCTAGGGCTCATGCCCAAAATGGCAAGGTGCCCAAGACACAATCAGCGCAGGGTACTTGGGATTCCCGACCCCCCCTCCGGTTTCGCGACATGGACCCTATGGGCAGGGCGAACCTTACAGGGTTTTAGGGTTTAGGGCTTA